TAATAGCAAATATATTAGTTGGACTTCCATCAGCTTTAAATCTTAATATTTTAGCAAATCAGGTAAGCAGTAATTATAATGAAATTTTACATTAATTATTACATAACTTTTAAGTGTAAAATCAATAATCAAACGTTTTATTATGAAACATTCTCAGGTATATGATTAATTTGTTGGTACGAATATTTAAAGGTGAACTTGACAATTAGTCAATATAAGCACTTACATGTTGTTTACTATACTTAAAAATATCTATATTACACGTTTGTTCTATAATTCACTGCATTCTTAGCAATATAAACATAAGTGAAATAATGTATGAATATGAGATTAAGTAGTTAGGATACTAAGAAATTTAGACAAAATCTCTAATTAAATAAGAAAGACTGAATGATAAATATATAATACGAAATGATTATCATTAGCGTGGATCTTTATTTCAGGCTGAAACTTTGATTTTTATTTATCATCTTAACTTAAAATAATCTTTTTTTAAAATTTTTCCCATCCTTTAGAAGTATTCCAATCTAGTCACCTAGATTAGTCGTCACATTGCAACTTTATCGGTAGCATTAGACCTGAATTAAGAAGGACTTGACACACATGACATTGATCACCGTCCATTGATCAATCAATTGTTATTTTGACTAACTTTCATCTGATCTAAACATGAACAATTCATAATAGTACAGATCAGAATTTCAAAAATTTATTGATTCCTATAGGTTTAGAGATAATAATTTCATCTGAAGAGGAATGTATAAAACGAAAATAATAACATTTCTAGCATCATTGACTGATGATTTTTTTTTGCATAATGACAACAGAATCTTTCCATTTAGATAATTAAGTTGACAGACTATAACAGTTTCAAAATAATATCCTAAATCGGATTTGTAAATTGAGCATTGTATCTAAGTTTTTTGCATACTCTTTGTAAAAAAATCTAGAATTATTAATGTTGAGCAATCCAAATCATTTTCTTATCTTTACAGAAAGAAAAAAATTCTGTAACAGATGACTTCTAAAATAGTTTTAACCCTGTATAATTTTCGCTAGATAATCATGTTTGTTGCTAAGTAGAATTTATTCAAAATGTAAGTTAGTAATTTATATTATTTCTGTAGATATTAGCTTTTAACTTTGTTCTTTTTTTATTATTTTAGGATAATGTATGGGGTATTGCATTGTTAATATCAGGTATACTGATGGCCAGTTTAGTTATTCGATACGGACCAATGAAGTATCGTCGATATATAGTTAATGAATTTGGTATAGATGATTGGAATTTACCGAAAGTATGGATATTTATGATAACGTTAGTTACATTTGATTAATATTGGTAGTAACAGTCAGTAGATATGACCCAAAACAACATAATTTATACACTGTAATATTTTTTGTAAACACGTTCATTGTGATGGCAATTAATTAACGTCTTGTAATGAAATACATTAATGAGTATGATATATTCACAAACACTGAAAACTATCAACTTTTGAATGTAATATAACCATAAAATCATTTACATACATGGAATTCACATTATACATTTAAATTTTATTATTTAACTGACCCTAATTATCAGAATGTCAATTTTCAACTTTATTTCAACATGATTTAGTTGAATGAATAAATAGAAGATAGAAGAGTGGGAGTTAGGATATTTCAAACATTTTTAATATATGTATATAAATACATATTTTTGAAGATAAATGATAATATTCCCTGTAAGACTTCAAGTTGAAAAGTAGCACATCTATTTGAGATGGTGGAGAAGATTTGTATCTCAGGCGGATAATTTTGATGGAGTTTTGTTCTCCACCATCTCAAAATCATATGAGCGTAGTAAGCTTTACGTTGTTTGAAAATGGGAGAATTTCGCCAAAAAGCTAGCTTTCACTCGTGAATGACTGTATTTTCTCCACGAATGTCTTTGCAACACGTTTTGTCAATAAGTGTAGGATACAGACCTCCAATCGAATGCCCAATTAGATGGAGATAGCTGAGCAAAGTGGAAGAAAAACGGTACACCTAATAACCATGACCAAACCATCTAGCTCAGAGAAAAAAACTCCATCAAAAACATTTTCTAATTGTAATCTCCCATTGAATATCTATTAAAAAATTTCTGTGATCTCATTCACTGTGTAAGTTAACGAATATTTACGAGCTCTCATATTTGCAGCACGACTGTACGGAATAGCTTTAATTTTTGACGAGAATTTTCAATTCCAAAGACGTGTGTTATAATAAAAAAATTTTAATTCAAGAAGGGTAGTGATCCAACAGTTTTATAGCTATCAGTCTCATTTGGTGTTAACTCAAATGACATTTATCCTAAACCAAGGGAGAATTCACCGTTGTTTGTGCTATCTAGGGAAATAGTTGGTTGCGCTGTAGTTTGAAGATTGGCATTCATATTAGTCTGTATTGATACACTCTCTATTTGAGTACTAATAAAAGCCTTGGGCTTATTAAAACCAATATGACTACAACAAATATTTCGATACTACTGTGGTGCGTGCTACTTATATAGATATAAGTAGTACATGACGCGAGTTAAAACGTAATGTATGGCAGCAGAAGATGAGGGGAAGATCAAGAAAAGAAGAGCGAGAACAATGGAATTTGTAAGAAAACGCATGAACAATGGAATGGGAGACATTGGATTGGTGTTTGCAACAGAAACAGTCCAGTTTGATATGATGCAATAATATTCTGCAAATTGACGATTTACTATAAGGTATTCAGATTTTATTGAGATAGTCTGTAAATTTTGTGCTAAATACATTCGATTGTCCCCACCCCTGTTCTTGTTCACTACAGTACTGCCATAGATCTCTAATTATTCATTTCATATATACTTTTGTGTATTTTACACCATAACCAACTTTTCCACAAAGATTCTTTCTAAAGTAATTCAGAAATCATCCTTTTCTAAATAATGTACCCCTAGTTTTTCTATTACCAATTGGTATCAGTCAACATGGTTGTGGCTGTAAACTGGCTTTCATTTAGTTATCATTTTCGAAACATAACATTACTATACTTATTTCATAGACTGAAATATAATTTGTGAACACAGTAATTTCATCAAAATCGGTACACAGTAAACATCCAAGTTAATTCAAAACATATTTTCATTCTAAAAACATTTAACAGATAACACTATGATTATCGAAGTCTAAACATAGGGATTTTACAAAAAGAAATTTCAGTACAAAAGTAACTCAGAAAGAGCACACAGAGGATAAGTTGAACATAAAACGGCATTTCCCCAAAAACGATAATTCAATATATATTATAATACATTATTTTATGGTAAATTGTTTAAATTCATATGATTATCTAATATGTAATATCAGAAGGGGTTTTTGTGGATATTATATTAATTTCAATAGTTGAGATCATGAGTCAATTGAAGTTAGGTTTTCCACGGTGGTCTAGCTTCAATTGACTCACGATCTCAACTATTGAAATTAATGCATAATACATTGAATGTCTTTTATTTTAAAAATGTAAACGTAAAAACTTTAATTCACAACTGAAATTGATTATATATTGCACAATTATACATTTCTTTTAATTACGTAACATTACTCATCTCTTTTTTTCATGATAAACATTAGTATTCTTGTACCATTACAAGGAATCATTCTAATTATTTGGTGGATTTATGATATGATCGCAAGTGATCCACATTGGTATATGTTCACATATGAATCTGTTACATCGTTGTGTGTTGAAGTAAGTTATTAAATTTATGTATAATAGCCTTGAAAATTATCAATGGTTTCAGTTAATCCCACATCCATTTTTTTCAAAGAATTTTAGAGTTATGGATCAGGCATCGACAATGTGTTTGAGTTGATTGGTTGGTGTTGTTGAATTGTTGAATTTAAAAACAACTGATATTTAGTTTTTCTTATAAAACAATGATTATTGTTAACAGTTTAGTAAAATATGAAATTAACTCGATAAAATCCCAATGTGATCATTAGTGGTAGTGACTAGATACTGTGATACATTTTACTAGATTTAAAGTAATTGAAAGCATTTAATAATTCTAGTTATTTCCTGATAATCAACACTCATTGAAATATACGAAGAGGTATGAGATCTCTCTCGTCTAGTTCCCTATAATCGAAGCATGATCTTAGACAGATGTATATCGGTTAAAATTAACTATGCCACAATAATACCGATTGACGAAAAAATAAGCTGAATTGCAAAGTATTTGAAATAATAGTAAAATTGATAGTAAAAATGATTGAAGATAGAGACTACAGGACAAAAAATCCTGATGTGTTTGTTGAATATAAGTTTGGAACAATATTGAACATCAGAATATAGAAAAGAAAGAATGAATTTGTCAGTCGATCACGAGGTATATTACCTATAGCTTCCAATAATGGTTCATTATTATAGCTATCACAATAATCAGATAGTTTTTGCCTGTCAACGTGGCTCAGAACGACAGTCATTTATTTTGTGAACTGATATCGTGTCTTGATGTATCCAACCACCCTCCTCCAGCCTTCTATTGTCAGTACCAACGAGTATGAAATCTGGAATAAGGATGTAGAATGTTCTCTATTCTAAATATTTGAAAATCACATAAGCCCCTCTTTTAAGCAACAGACTAAATGATATTAACAACTGTGTATTATTTATCAGTAATGTATTCATAAAATCGTTTTTTCTTCAAATCTCATGTATATTCAACGTAGTGGATGATTTTGTTAGCTGCATTGATCGGGATTAATGTAATTGCATTATGGCGAAAGTGGTCAATATTTCCTGTTGCTAAAACATATGGAAACAATCCTTACGAACTAGACTTTTTGAAAACGTTCACTGATTTATGATTTTTTGTAGTGATACATTAGTTAAAAGTAGTACATATTTTTAAGTAAAAATATTGTTAGATTGAAAAAAGGTTACTAGTTTTTGTACACCTGCCTTCCAATTATTATAAAGAAAATTAAAAAGAAATTTCTGCTTAAAAAATCTTTATTTTATCGTTGAGAGAATATAAACCTTATACATTTCTTTTCACTCACAGTTATGGATTTTTTTAAAGGAACCTATTAGATCCTTTAGATCCTTTAGTATCATTTCATAAGTGTTGATTGTACTATATCATCAGAATAACCAGTAGTGGAGAAAACTAAGTTAATGTGACTAGAAACAATTTAATTGAAAGAGTCATTGTCAAATTAGGGGAATATACAATGCTTTATACTGATCAATATCATTTTGCCAAGATTGAGTTTTCACTTATAACCGAGTACAAATAGTGCTACCATCAATATTATTAAATTCTTTATTGATAATACTAGTATTTTCCATTTGTTCGTCTGTATTTTCATAAGTTGCTGGATTATACGGATCACAACCATGAGCTTTATTTAAAGCTTTACTGAGTATATTTGTTCGATAAAGTATCCAGTTTAAAATTAATAGGCCAATCACGGCGACGAACCACTGAAACAAAAGATTTTAAACCAAAGATAGGATACATTGATATGTGAAAAAAATTCTTTTAACAAAATTTACTTGTAATCTTTACTATAAAGTTTGATGCTTATTATTCAAGTCATTATGTGAAATCTTGGTTGGGGTAGTTGGAGTTGGACAATTTTGCTTAACTGAACAAGCAATCAATTGACTCAGAGTCTATAAATAGTATATACATTTAGCATACTTTCAAAAGAAAATCTAAAACGCGTATTTGTATTTAAGAGTATATTTATTACGAGACAACTGGTTAGAATTCTTCTATATATATACAAGCAGGACGTCTGTTTGATTGTTATTATCATAACGGAGTCGAGAACAAATTATCTTGCTAGCTGTTTCTATATACTAAGAAAGGCTTAGAAATATAGTTCTAAGGTAGCATAATTCTCAGTCGACTGACATTGAGACAAACAAAAAGCACCATTTGAATTTTGCCTCTTCTCAGTTGATAGTGAATAGTAAGTTTTAGTATTTGCGAAATTAATGACTGGATTATTTTCATGAATATTTATAAACAAATTTTTGAAAACATTATATCACCTCATCATTCGAAAAAACTCAGTAATGTATAAACATAAAATACTCATACTCGGTTGACATACTTCTAACAATGTTGTTAACAGTGATGTCCAGTTTAGATGATACCAATTTGGATCGGTAGTTATGGATTCATACATCCACCAGCCTAGTAGTACAACTGATTGTAAGGGGACTAAAAATCTAGAAAAATAAAAATACGTTTTTAAATAAACGAGACCTGATAAGTTCAAAGCAAGAACATAATGAGTTTACAAACCAGTTATTGAGTTTTACAAAAGGGAACTTTTCTTATCATACACTGATACTGAATTACTAAAAACATATCCATTAACGCACTAGTCAAGTATATTCTTAGATTAAATTGGTTTGTAAATGACGGTTTTATGCTGTATATATATATATATATATATATATATATATATATATATATATATATATATATATATACGTTTTGATTTGTGTTTGTTGTTATCGCCCGCTTCTGGCTGTTTGCGGAATATACTTTCCCATTCCAAGCTTGGACGTCTTCCTCTAGTTAGAGTAGCTGGGACGCATCGGATAGGTAGCTTATCGGTTTCGGTCACCGAGTATTTGTTTCCGTTCGCAGTCTAAGTGAACTCGTAACCGCTTCAAACTTAGAACATAAAAACACAAGTTTATTCTATGATGTAACTATGATGGATGGTAAACATCCTGGTAAATCTTATGCGCATTCATAAGTGAGAATTGTTGAGTAATATCAAAATAAAATAAAACAACTGTCTATCACATTTTGAGCTTCAATAATACTTCAGATAATTTTGATCAGTGACAAAATCTCTTTCAAACATACAATCAAATAAAATGTATTTAATGGACGCAATATTAAAATTACTCTATGGTTATTCTAATCATTTAAATTTATATTCTATAGAATATATGTTATCTATGTAAAATGTAATGGATTCTAAAATCTTTCAAGATATGTCTATAATATTTGTTTGAAAGCATCGAAAATACTCATTACCTTGAATTTAATGTCAAGGAAAATTAAAAAAGAATATTTGAAGGTCATTTATCTTACTGAATTAAATTCTTAACAATGCTTATATAGTATTACTTACTTGAATCTTCCCACTGATATTTAAGACTGAAGTTGACCAGTCTCTTAAGGATACATGTGTATACTGTGAGTTATGCCTGAATACTACCTTAATTCATAATCATTCCAAGCAAAAATGGATAGTAGCTAGCAGAAAACAATACCAAATGTATTTAAACTTCACCGCATCGCACAAGTAAGTGTCTATCAGGACTCAGTAGCTAAGTGAATAACGTGATGGGGTTTGAAGCGAGTTCCAGAGTGAAAACCAACTCTGAGATTCAGGTACGTCAGCTGACGAGTCCCAAATAGGACGAAGCGCGCGTCCTGTATTCCATTGCTGGCCACTATCCATCTTTGCATATAATGTTTATATAGATTAGTAAACCTGAATTCATGCAGTAAAACCATAAGTTTATTTGAATAAGCTTAGATTGTCAACGCAGTAAAACATGAGATATTATGTGCTTATGTTCTTATCATTATGATTATTATTATTATCGAATTACGTGAAAGATGCAGTTAAGAGTCATAACTATCCACTTAAAGCAATTAGATAACTGGAAACATTGTTGAAATATATGCTGCATTAGAAAATAAGTAGCCTAGATGTTTGATAATAAAAAGCTGATAAATAAAACATTTTCGCTGCTAGATATGTGTATTACATTAATGTAATAAATACACGGCTATGTGAGTACTGATAAAAGTTAATATGACAAGCCATTTGTAATGGATGCAGTCATGTAATTGTCTGACTGACTGACTCACTGACGCATATACATCATTTTGACAAATGTATATTTAAGTAAACTATGTAGACTATTGGCTGTATTGTCCATAATAGAAGTTAAAACTGGCATTAATAATTTTATAAAGTGTTACTTGTGCAGTAAAGTAACTTACGCTATAAGTGGAACCCAAAAAATTGATAAATGACAGTCATTTATACCAAATTCATTAATAAGAACACGTCGATAACGATTTGGACCATAAACAATAACTAATAGACAAAATAAAAATCCAGAAATTACAAGTCCATATCCCCATGTATTATCCTAAATTATAAGAAAAATAAAATAAAATTTTGAAATGTAAAGGATTTGTGGTTAGTTTAAAACTACTTTTTCTTTAGTATGAACCAGGGAATCGGACAATCATTGGAAAACATAAAGCACTAGACAACTATTTAGTTCTAGTACGAAAATCTTCAGAAGTTCACTCATAATATTGAGGTGGGAGCTTTTACTTTAGACCAATGAACCGGAAACTAGTGTTTTATATACCTAAATTAAATTGATTCGCATTATTGTACAACCATGTTCCATCGCCTCCTACTAGGCATAGTTTGACTCCACTAATCATGGCATCGCGCTAGATTTTCAGGTATCATCTCTTGAAATTAATTACTATTTAGTATATTTTTTCGCACAAACAATACACGTACTTACTTGATTTGTTAAAAAGTCAAGATAGATTGCTGAAGGTATACCAATAAGAGCTGATGCAATTAAAGCAATAGCAACGGCTAACCGATGAGGTACTGAAAATAAATAAGGATAAGAGTTGAAATCAATTTAATTATTATTGAAAAAATTGAAACTTCGACTGAATTTTATGAACTGTGCAAACACTACTGTTATAGTCTACACGAATCAGTCCCATTTATATTATTTACAATGATGACTTTCTTTACTTGTGGTCAAAACAAAGGATTTTGGTGGTCAATTCCTAGCTAGGAATGGTATTTGCTTCACTGTTCAGACAAACGTTTTGTAAAATGACAAGATAGTTTTATTAGCATGAATTACATTAAAAATATTGTGAGGAAAGCCTAAGGAAACTCCTTCTGCTATTTACAATGACAATCAAGCTATTCATTTTATAATCATATAAAACTGTACTTTTTGATAACTCAAGGTAAATTATGTAATCCGTAGTATTTCCTTTAGTGACAAGCATAACTAATAAGCTAAAATCTAATGTTTTATGCATATTTTGATCATTTTAGATAATACAGATATTTATTCTAGCAACCGCCTTCCAGAATTTGTACGTCTTATATGATCCATAAAATGTCCAAGTCTGTCTATTCATTTATAAATTATTAGCATGATGTCACATTAAGTTCGGATATTGGCACGCGTTACATTCATATCTGACCGATTAATTTCCAATTCTAACACTTTAAAAATTAAAATTTAATAACACTTTCACAATGTGAATCGAAGCTCATTTGATACTTCTATGTAACCGCTATAAAAATGAGATGCAGATTTATGCACACATAAATGCATAAACTAAAATATCGTAGCAAACAACGAAAAAGTTCTACATTTAGTGATCATGTGTAGTTAAATTGGTTACGTTCATGACAAAAGACAATGGATTAATTCATGTTTACATCCCTGAATAAAAATTGGTTCTTAGAAATTTAACTCAAGTTCGATTGCTTTTATAAACAATGTCTTATTCGACATTATGAAAGAGTAAAAGTATTACCCTGTGTGACTTTAACAGTCAGTTTTGTATAAGATGGGATAAAACCAGCTGTTAGAGTTGCGAGATCTGACTTGAAACTCAGTACCTAGGAATCATTATCTTTACTTATTTTCTGAATCAGTAACACTTCTAGTTATCTATGCATTCATAAACAAAATTGTCCAGTGATATTGAGCAAGGTATTCCACAAGAAATATCTTTTTAAAACTAATAGTTTATGCTAGTATTTATACTGTTATTAACCTGTGGAGAGAATACGCAATACAATTTTGTCGTAGGTTTATTAGGACAGCTGTGTTTTCATTACAGCTTTCAAACTTTTGATCAATTTCTGAACACTTGTTGCAGTATTATAGTATCACTCATCATAAGTAAGCAAATATATCCTCAATCATAAAACCAAAAAGTAAATATTATATTAGAATACTTAGGAAATATTCATATTACAATTCAGAATAATGCATGTGGAAGATATAACTATTGTCAATGACACAGTAGAATTATTTAGATAATACTAAGTTACATTTAATCATTAACTAACCATTCAATTCTTTCATTGCAAGTACACCTATCTGAGTAATTGACAGTAATGAACTTATTCCAGCACATACAAGGCATAGGAAAAACAATGCGCATAGAATTCGACCAAATAAACCGAATTTAGAAAATAAGACTGGTATCCTAGCACGAAAGTAAAATGAAAGATCAAGTAAGCATAACTTTTAGTGAATGAAGGTCAGAATGATAAAATATAAATATTGATTTCACTGATTCTCTTACAAAATCTTTATTTTATTTTTGAGATGAACTTTTATTTATTTGTAAAATATACAGGATTTCTAAAGAGATATGACGTTAAAGAGAGCAGTTATTTCATAAGGATATTATTATTTCTAACAAGCCGACAACATCCGAGAGCCGGAGTGAGCACTAGACAAGGTTTCATCCTGATTTAAAACTCTTTTACAGTATTTGTTCTTCATTCTGAGCAAGATTAAGCCCATGACTTTCAAGTCTGATAGCTGACAATGCATCTATATAAATCTAAATCTTTGTTCCAAAGTCCATCTTTGAAACTTTTTTTAGTCTGATCCTGACTCGAATATTTAAGTAGTTAGAGTATTATTTCAATTTAAGCCATGTTAATCGTCACTAAAACATTTTGCTAATTACGACAACCTTATTATACATTTGAGTTTTGCACTAAGTAACAATACTTGTCTGTACCTTTCACGCCGAATATCACAATAACTACAAATAGGCGTCAACTGAACATCAACCAATAAAATAGATTCGAATGGAATCACTTTTTCGCCTGTATAAGAGTACTTACCAAGTAAAAGTAAGTCCTGTACTTCCAGGCCCAGAAGTCTTTATAAGTTTTACAATTGCTGAGCGAGTAACTGTAGGACTTGTTTGTATGATTGTCGAAAACACAGTTGAAAATATCATTATAGATGCATATAAGCTATAATGAAAGTGTACACACAAATGGAGGTTAGATTAAATAGAGAAATCATTAACATGAATAACGAATACAATGTTGAACGAGATTTCTTACAAGTAAAATTGTTATTAACTATTTTTTAACTCTAGAAATCCCATAATTCTTTGAGCATTATCTTTGTGTTAACTGTTATTCCAACGTGATCCCATCACTCTCTTCATTCTGAAGATAGTTGAAATTAAAATTACAACAAAAAGTTTGTTATTTGTCACAAAAAATATTGATTGCAGTATGCTGAATTTTCAATAAAAGTATTGCACTCAATAACATATTTGTGACGATGATTTTAAGATATAGATAGAAGAAAAAGGCTGAAGAAAGACATATTGATTTGAATATCTTGAAAATAGATCCTCATATAGTATGACGTCTGTTGATTACATTAAGACACTTGGCTGCTAGTTAGGTCTCAAGTGAACCTCAATTATTTAAGATTGCACCTCATTATAATGTGAATCAGAAGTACGTCACGAACTTCGTTATACCAGTTGCATATCTTTATCAATTTCAATACGATCATAATGAAATTACTCGAGGTAAACCATTCTAAAGAATTTACACAAGAAAAGGTGAATTTAATCTTGATTTTTACTTAAATAAATGATTAATTTCTGTACATTGCATGAATGTTGCCCTTGGGAACTATAAAACAATATAAAGAAATGAAAAGTTAGTGTAATTCCTGCTTATGAATTTTGTGAATTTCTATCATCTAATCAAGTGAATCAGTTAAAAATCATTTTCGTATAAATTAAGTAACATGTATTTCCAAGGAGACCTGAAATACTTCCGGTGAAAAAAATGCGATTGAGAACCACAATTATGTACTATTGGTTGTCGTTCTTCTGTACTAAAGAACTATCCAATTTAAATGATCATGTATCTACATAACAATGCTGTCATATCACATCTTAAACATAAATCTACTTATTTGACAAGGAATTATAATTGAATCACTCAAGTAAACAGTAAATTATAGGATATTTTGTAGGTTAAAATCTTTAAGAGATAAAAAGTTAATTTTCAACGATCTATCAATTCTCTGATGATAGACTACTGCTATGGGAAACGAATTGCTTGCTCAAACAAACTAAAATCGATAGGTCCTCTTTTCTCAGTAGCTCCAACTGCGTTTACCAATTTATATGTACATCCCAAAGCACATGCATTGGGAGAACCGATAGAAGAGTACATGTTCACATTTCTGAGCATGTTCCCAAGAAATTGAGACTGAGAGGGACGAGAGCTCTCAACAGTGCAATAACCTGGGATTTACTTGACACCAGGCATATCATTGACATTCCTCATGCTTATAAAATTATTAGCAGACAAAGAAATACTGCTTCTTCTCGGTTCGCTGAAGTGATCGCGATAAAAAAACATAAACCTGAACTTTTTACTCCAAAAGAAACAGTAACATACCTATAACTACCCTGATGATTCAATTTTTTAGTCATCAGTTTTAATTTCTTAATGCTTAGTTTGTGTTATATTTCTCTTCCGTTACCGAATTCTTAAACCACCCTCACTTGATTCTCTTAAATTATGTGAACTCTTCAAATTTTATTCAATTATCATGTAACTCATCTTATCAGTTTTTAATTTCGTGAATCCTTCATTACCTCTAAAGTTATCACACAGTATATCTTATCTGCCTCTGAACTCCCCTCAACTATTACATCACACATCCCTTATGTTTCCTTGATTCTAACACCAAATAATTTCCGACCTGTTCTTGCACACTATATATATAATTATTATTGATAACCCTTGCCATTCCAATTCTTTACATTCATTTATGTCAGTTGTATCATACTATTTCTTACCTCAATGTAGAATTCTCATACATATATGGTTGTTGGCAGCTAATGAGAAACCACGAAATACAATGAATTCATATTATTCTGCATCAATGATTGTTCTGGCTTTATTTAAAATTATTTTAATTACAAGAATTTTTCATGAAAACTTGCTTTCGAATAAAATGCATATGAAAATCAAAACTCCTTCTTTACTCACCTTACAAGATTATTTATTATTGGGATAAGAAAACTGTAAGCTACTATTCTAGAATCTCTTGACATAAATGTAGAATAGGTTGTCATTATACCCATACCAGAACTTGTATCAAAAGCATTTTGACCAGCAGCTGCAATCCAAAGATTGGGATATGTAAAAGTGCCTGAAAACAAGAAATTAGACATCAAATTTGTGTTGTAGCTAGCTTAAATTCAAAAGTAAAAATGTATATTATATGCTCTTTTGTCCGAATTCGATTAAATAATATAATGAACACTTGATGCCAAGTATCTGTAAAGTTGTTAATAAATAAGCTTTCGGAATAAAACTGTCTTTAATTTCTTTCGTGATGTCCAGATAACCGCAGGAAACACTAGGACGTTTTTTACTTTTAGTTATTTTGCTTCTCAATAAAGAAATTTATATATAGTGACGTTATTTAATGTCTGAAATCAATGTATCAAATAAATTACAGGTTAGTGACAGGAAAACCATAAATGATCAAGAACCTTATCTCTAGTTCTCCTGTGCAGTAAAACTCAATTTTAATTTCCTAAGTGATATTTTAGTGAACCTGTTATTGAAAATGTGAATCGTTTTAACTGCATTCGTATTATTTTAGAATGATTTTCAATGTGAATTATAATATACTTGTAGAAATGACGTAGGCATGATAATCTATACGTTATTCTCCTGAAGAGAAATTAAAACTGAATTAAAATAGATTAGAAACAATCAGCTGCAAAAGTTATTTGACTTACTCCAAGATGGAGTGAATAAAAATGTAATACCGATTTCTGCATATTGTCTAGTTATTGCCCAACCGAACATGAACACAATTATGAATAGCAATAGTGGGACAAGAATAATGTTGGCTTTTTCAATCCATTTAACTCCACCGGCTAAACAAATACCACTTAAGGCGACTGCCAGAAACTGAGTAAGTACTGGCCAATAGGAATGCTGTATAAAAAATAAAGTGAACTTTGATGCATAAAGATTTTATCAGTGAGTAGTGAACTAGAAAAGAGTTTAGTCTATGAAACCCATATTTTTTCTTGCTAAAACAAGCAAGACATGAATATTTCAGCAAGCTGGACAAATAATTGCTATAGGAGTTTTTTATTAGAATAAAACTTAAAAATTTGAACATTTCTGTGGACGTTTATGTCCCTAGTTCTACATTGCTGACCGAATTCGAAAAAATAATCATCGAAAACCAAGAAACACTGAACAGCTTTTTAATTATGGTATGGGTATATGCAGGAGTTTTCATTCAAGATTAGAATAAGATTCTAACTCAGGACCTTCAAGCCTCTTAGTGAGTCCTTATTGTTCAGACCACTGAATTGATATCCAGCATCCTTTGTTCCGAACATTTCGTTTTAACAAAGAAAGTTACTGCTGTCTACAACTACACACCACTCCTTGGTCGAAGTAACTTAAAGTCTGTATAAAGAGAAAAGTGGAGGAACTATTCATCGTGAAATAACTTAGCTTGCTAAAGCCGAAATATTCACTGTACATGTTAAAAATCGTTACACATTGGACACGGTTAATTATTTGATTATTTGATCTCATCTTATACCATGATTATATCAATAATCGGTAGTCAAGTTTATGGCCAGAGGGACTTGTTTTAATAAACAGTCAGCAATTACTTAACGTCATTTAACGTGAATTTTTGATTTAACTACATATAAAATAAGTTTGGACAAAGAAATATGTTTTTATTTCTGCAATCGACTAATTAAGTGTATCAACAGTAAATTTATATTATACATTTTCAAATATTTATCAAACTAAGACACAAAAATTCATTTCACTTAAAGTATTAAAACATTGACATACTTCTGCAAAATTACTGAAAATTGATAAACCTTCTTCTTCTGTTTTCGGTAAAGAATACACACAAGATATATAGAAATAATAAATACACCATCCAAGTACAACAGGATAATAACAGCTGATTAAAAAGAAATTACAAATAAAAAACTGAGCTTAACGATATGATATTTTTTTGTATAAATCAAAGTTTGTAGAAAATTAAAATTTCAAAATGTATCAAAATCTAAATTAGTCCATGCAAATTGTTTTGTATAGCTCGAAAACAGTTGCCATCAAGAAGTGTTCTCGATTTGTTACGGTGAACAAATATATGTTGTCATGAGATGTCACAAAATAGAATAAAATTATTTACAGCTGCTTCATAGCTCTCAATTGATCATCAACTGATGCTATTTAAAAGACAGCATTAAGTTTCGAAGAAACAATTAACAAAGTTACTAATTTATTTAAATATGAATTGTCAGTATAGGGTTGTTGAGAATATTATCTTTTTGATTCAGATCATGAACCGATTGATGTTAGACCACCATTAGAAACCTGAAAGCACCGGGCGGCCATTTCGTCATGGTATGGTACTCCTCAGCAGTGTGCATCCACGATCCCCCTAGCGGGATTCAAACCTAGAGCCTCCGGTCTTGCGTGCGAACTCTTAACATCTAGACTAATGAGTCGGCATCAAACGGTGTCAATGTCTAACTTCAACCAATCCACGGAATTGCGCGACCATCTTCTATTGTACTGAGGTAGATACCTGTCTCTACCTGACATGGATTAGCTCCACTGGTCACGACTTCTCACTAGAACTCCAAGAATTCTCTCACGAAGCTAATCACTAGTGAGCACGTGGTAATTATCAGTATAGAGTTGTGGAGATTATTATGTTTTGATTAAGATCACGAACCGATTAATGTTGGACCATTATCGAAAACTTCAATATGTCCTATCAAATGGATCTCTAATTTATGATTACACAAACTAAGAAAAATTTAAGTGGAAACGTTTGCTTCGATTATATTTTACTTTGCATTGATCACTTAAAACGTGGTTGCCTTCCCTATGTATGTTTTGAAAAAGTACCTTCTAGGAGGGGATAAGTTTAAATCAGCTGTCTAATTTTATCATGATACAAATGTATTCATCTAGAATGGAGTAATTTAGTAAAATATACACGTATTAACTCTCAAAAAATGTATTTATCTATTTATTTTATTGACTGATGTTCTATATAGTTAGCTGAATAGATTGTTTGGTAGTGTAGGTCAAGAATTTGACTAATTTCTACATATTAAGCCAAAATAACTATGAATATATATATATATATATATACAACCTTGATATCAAGTGTACACTAATTATCGATTTAGATTCTTGTTATTACAAAAAATCATTTCATAACATAAATTTCATTACATCTATCTTATTTTTACACTTTATACGTAATTCATAGCACCTTTCCTTTAGTTTAGTGTCTTTATTCATCGATCTGATATACCAAACTATATACTTAGATATTATAAAAGTTAATCTATTAGTTGGTAATGATATACTAAAAGTAATCTCATTCAAATGACTCAATTTGTTTCTGTGAATGAATCTTACAGAATGTACCACTTTTATTATGCAGAGTTATTTCTTGCTAAAAGTCTATTTAATAGTAAGTTGGTTTAGTTGTAAGTTTGACATTTAATTCATTTAAACTATAGAAGTATACTTTTCAAAATACATCACATCGCGCATAGTTTCAGTGAATGCGTTTTAAATACATCTATACGTAATACATTACATTTGTTAAGATTCACACAGCTTAGCAATCGGATTTATAATGAACTAATTTAGAACAATATGCATGTATGAGTAGTAAATGAAAAATTAAGTTCGATCCTAATTATAAAGTAAACTGCTTGGTATGATAAGTGAATGAATCAAACTTTATTTTATTTCATTTTTTGTTAATGTATAATAAAGATTTGGTTGTTTATGACTGTTATTGGTTAACTTTTTATGGTGATACTGAGAAACGTTGATTATGAAAGTGAAAATAACGTTGGCCAAGTCTTACTTGGCATATATCATGAGAGTTGAAACTCTATTTCCATTATATAATTAATGGCTACTGATAACTATCTTAGAATAGAGTTTACCTGAATGTGTCTTGCATACAATAATTCACGTTCTTCGCAGCATACACTATAAATATCTTAATGTGAAGATGGAGGGCTTCATTTGTTTATTTTACCAACTTCATTCATATTATACAAACTTGAAGAAAAGTAAGTTGTATGTGATTATACGATCTGTCTGTTATAAAATAAATAGGTTTCTAGAGATTTCTGGTTATACTTATTGTGCAATAACGATAACTTTCAAACTAATAATACTGTAATAAAAGCAATTCGAGAAGTAATTACACATCTTTTCGTATGTCATCTTTTGTGTGTATCTTGACTGAACACCTTCGAAGGCTAGTAGCGAAAAATTTTTTGTGTGCATTCAGGAGCCTGAGGATACGAAGAAAAAGGACTTTTTCTTGTTTATTCATCCATAGTAACCTAGTTTTTATAAAGAAGCTAGACTACTTGATATTGTGTTATAGTATTGGATACAGAATTAATGAATAAATCTAATGTAATGTAGAAAAATCTATACTAAAATCCATCAAAGACTCAACGGTTTATTTGAGCAATATCACTAAGAAGCCAATTATAAATTGGTAAAATATGGATGGTTCGTAATCGTTCAAACAGAACTCGTAGTATACACAGATTCATTTAATTTATATAGCGAATCTGTCAGTACTCTAGAAATCGCTTTGACTCTAAAACCAATACTCGAGAATATTTCGAACAAAGAGTCACAAAAAATACTTCGTAGTTTGGCAAAACAACAATGTCTTCCTCCAAATGTTTCTAAAGAAGAATTCAGAGCTCTTAGCGCCTTATAAAAGGATAGAACGATTATCATTATCAAAGCTGACAAACAAAATACAAAAGTTGTCATGAACTGGAGCGTACACAGAAAGGGGACCACAAATATACAACTACAGAATCACATCTAGAGACTGGTTCAAAAAATCATTTAAAGGTTAAAAATGAAGTCAATCAGAGACAAGTGAACTTTCAAAAGAAATGAGACCTTAAATAATTATTCAAATGAAATATCTTGAATTGGTTTTGTAGTTTAAGCTAACTAAATGGTATTACAGAAGAATTCCAACGTATTTTGAAAACATACAAATTAAAGTGTTCCATAAAACAACAAGCACTCTTTGAAATCCTCTGGTTCGAGTTAAAGAAAGATACATTTCATATCTACATATACCTTCGTTCACATGTTAGGTTGTGTCGACCATTATCGATCCCATATTGTTGAGTGTTCTCGTGAAATCTTAACTCGTACTAAAGAACACCTGATCTACATTAAAGACCGCTTAGAAATCCCGTAGAACTGGTAACTTTACAAATTACTTCGGCAATAGCAGTATAGACCGTATTTAATAACTAGCAAGTCAGCATTAAAAATATCAAAATCATTCTGAAAGGTTTTTCCAACTATATAAAAGGTAAGTAGCGTAGGTGTTTTGAGTAATAGTAGATCCCACTTCCCTGAATAGGAAACAATGCCTGAAATTTCATGCAACTTGAATCGGTTATCACAACAGCAATAGCTAATTTTGTTCATTTCCCACACAATTGACTCACGTGCACACCTAAATTTTCGTTCTACTACTTCATACTACTACCTTCTCATTTTTTACCCTCATTAGCATACACACAAAGTCATGCTGACCTAAAGTGACATGACATCGCCAGTAGATATATTTTGATCGATTTAAATATCTCACCTTTCTCCATTATACTATATAAAGTTAATTTGATTCGGCTACATTTTTCGTACTCTAAAGAAGTGGCTTACATTAACTCATGAATCGTCAGAAATTTAAGTTTCTATTCATTTGGATTTTACAAATAAATCATTATTTTATTATTAGTATACACATAGTCATTTTAAGCTATTTAGATCTGTTTAAATAATTTATTTTATGAAAGAGGAAATATGAAAAAAAAACTTACCTCAAAAAGAAAATTACTGTCACCAACCATGCACCTAGCCAGAAGAATTTTTGTCCAAAAAATTTACAAAATGCCAATGGAACAGAATTTCTAGTAAATCTTCCAAGTGAATATTCCACAATAAGAATCGGGATAGACCAAAAAAATAGTATTATAATCCATACAATATAAAATGTTAACGCACCTACAAATATAAGACAAGATAATTTAAATCATAGAAAAGACTTCAAAGGTAATGAATGAAGAATATTATTTTGAATATACTTTCTCATTGTATAGTATACCTACAAGTCTTCCTTTATGCTTGAAATAAATGACTTCTTTCTAATGATAAATTAAGGGATATAGAATTAGTATTCTAAATTCGATATGAAGTTATCTAACAGGTAAAGTACCATAAATTATGTAATAAATCGTTACAGTAGAATAATCATTTAAAGCAATTAACCCCTTCGATAAGTTTCGATTGTGTAATAAGAAGATGAAGATTATCAGAACTATGTGATATTTTAAATCCACTTGGTATTGAATATTTTCATTGATGTTTGGGACTGCGATTGATTAGTCTCTTATTGGCATATGTCCATATATGATATATTAGCGCAATACATTTCGAACAATCTGATCACACTTAATACACTTGTTAAGAACATTTATATATAAAAATAAAAGGTCAACTAGACTAGAAATGGAGGGTAAGAGGAGACAAAGATAATAAGGAAATAATGTGAAAACAAATTGAAACCTAATCACTCTGGATAATAAGCTAATATTACCAGGGTAGGTTTAAGGTGAGAACAATGCATTTTTGAGTGCACAAAGAGGGTTTGAATTTTCGTATGGCTAAGGCTTCTATAAACCTTAGTATGCGCTCACTTCCACTTTTGTGCAACACAAAAGCCGAGTTAAGATCAATCTTATGACCTGTTTCAATCATACGTTTGAAGAAAATTGAACTCAACCTTTTTCGGTAATCTGTTTGAATGTCATAAGCTATTGAAAAGATGGAGTCAATTTTCAAGGCTTATTCATTATAAACATGTAGATAAATGTTTATATCATAGAATAAATTAATATATTAACTATGAAAAAAATAAGGAGTGATAAGTAAAATATTACCCATAGACATGATCTTGGACCAATAAAATAGAAAAGGTATTTTAAATGTCCAAGAAGTCTACTCATAAGGATACATCTATCAAGCAGTACATGTCAGCTTAACCTATTCTGGAATCAGATCAAATGACTAACATTTTTATTGTCTTCAGGATGGAGAGTTTAACACTAACTACTTTAAATATTTATGTGGTATATATTAAATCTACTTTAAAACTTTCGTAAGTTTTATTCTACTTCGAGTCAAATATATATGAAGTCGGTTCTAATTTTGTTTATCTAAGCCCATACACACCATAAGAACAAATGTTACTGGCATCAAAATATTTCAGTAATATCATATCTATTTAATATAATATCAATATACATTAGTTGAGTTTTAATATACATAATATTAAGTAGGGTAACAAAATACATGTATGTACTTCATGTCTGATCCATTATGCCGGATTCACTGTGCAAAAGTTGAGAAATGTATAATGATGCAATATTTTAGTGGTGCTATGTTCTCTGATCTATAAGTTTTGGTTGAAGAGCTTTTATTGTTATTATGGATAACATCTTCAGTATCTGCTCGATTTAGAAGTGAGTTTTTCAGTTATTCCACAAGTTTCATGCCAGTTCATTCTGACGACTATGTTTTTGGTTAGCTACTATCGTAGATTTTGTTGTTTGCCTTGATTCTCACATTCATGTTGACTTTATTTGTTGGCTGACCTATGACCTTGTGATTGGTTGATTCCTTCTTTATGGGTTCATATAGCGGATCTATGTCGATGTAAATGTTGATTACTAATTGATTAAAATGACATGATCCTAGAAATTCTCCACCGTCTTTGAATTCTCTCCTATCTATAATTTCGACACTTCTACAGTTGAGAGATGTCCATGGCCACCGAAATCATAGATTATTAGTGACATTTTGTGGTATTTATTAGAAAGTATACTTACCACCGGAAGTGCTATTAGTTGCTAAAATACGTGGAAAGCGCCAGATATTTCCCGTACCTACAGCACCTCCAATACATGATATGATTCCACCAATAGCAGACTGAAACATAGACTTTTCTGCTGTAACTTGTAGCTTGATGGATGATGAAGATGTAAAAGAGGTCCCATCCGTGTTCTAGGGGATAATGATCATGATATCAAAATGTTACTAAAAACAATTCATTGTCAATTTATAATATGCAATAGCTAATAGAATTATATTTTTTTCATGAAATTAACTTAAACCATCATATTGAAATACAAAATAGTTGAAAGTTATCATAAACAAATAATCTCAATTTAAATCAAGTTCCAAACCTTATTTCTTAAGCCGTTGATCCGTTTCTAATTCAAAATCAGATTTTCTTTCTGTCATCCAAATTAAATGATTTCTTTTAAAGATAGACGTTAACGATTAGTGAAATTTCTCTATTTCTAGTGGACAATTAATATAAAGTAGACAATTTAAAGTCCTCATGGTGCACAATAAATAATGAGTTCTAGTCTTTGCAAATATGCTGGAGCTATAACTACTAATCTATAGAGCCTTGGTTTGTATTGCAAAAGAAATATTTGACATTCCTTTTGTTATTAAGATCAGTAACCAATCAAAGCTAAACATTCACTTAAAACCCAATAGTGCTGAACAACTGTTCCTTTTTGTATAGGACCCTTCAGTAGTACACATCCTCGAATCCTCATCGAAAAGGTTTTTCTAAACGTTTCAACTCATTTTAATCTATACACATATAATGTCAACGAACCATACAGTAAGTACTTAATTTTCACAGCAATCTTCGAATTATTTTCTCGTTTTAACATCTACAATAATTTGTTAATATCCTAATTAATTTTTGGGAAATCCTGTTAGGAATAATCTGTTATACTAGCAACACAATTTTATTCATTTATTTCTAGTTATTTATTTATTTATTGCGTCATTATTCCAACTCTTTCTGAAGATTAAATTACATCACACATAACTGACTGATTTCAATTCATATTTTCTTCATTACCATTAATCTATTTTCATGAGTTCCAATCACTATATCAATGTTCCGGAACTTTCCCTCTCAAACTTTATTTATTCGAGACAAAATTTTATGACCTCATTAACTCTATCGGAATCTTTGCTACACCATGAGACATTTATTCATCTTTAATCACCCTCTTATGTATAAGTATGTCAATATCTGTAATAATGCTGAATTTTAAATCTTGTAGGTTGTAAGCAGATGATGAGAACCTAACGAAACAAAATGAATTCATATTATTCTGCACCAATCTTTTTTCTTGCTCTCTTTGAGATATTTAAGGGAACTATGTGTATGAAATTTTAAAAAAGTTTACTTTTCTAAATGTTTCTCTACTCTCTGTACGATGTGTCAAATAGCATTCATGTTGCTTAAAAATTATTTGACTTCTTTAAACAAACCAAGACAACCTAACATCCCTAATTATATTGTGATCAACTGTTTATGGAATCATACGAACCAAATGGTTCAATGTTAATCAGTCAAAGATTATTGTTCCCAATGTTTTCAGTCATAATGCATCTAAGTGAATAAAATATGGTTTTTTTATGTGATTTGAATAAATTTGACAAACAAATTCGGATGTTTAATGTTGTAAACATTATCAAAGTATAAAAATATTTATCATTTAATGTGTTATGTAAAACTATCATTTTAATATGTAGCTATTTTGAATGTCACTTTTATCATGACTGATAACAGTTTACAAATTAATAAAATATAACAAACATTAAATGATCGTTGTGTATTGTACTGATTTATTATCAGATGTATCAATGATGTATCATAGTGAACTTGATTACATTATTGGTGGTACTTATTGAACAGTTTGGAAGATGTTACAAGGGCAAAGATGAACTTTTACGGTAGTTATGTATGAGGAAGGTACAATAGGTAGTTTTTATACAATTTCTACGTAATAAGAGAAATTAAGACATTTAAATATCACCACTAGCTCATAAACACATTAAAGCCAACCAGGGTTTTATACAACTCAATATGTTGAAATGATTCAAATGATCAAAATATTATGGAATAACGATGATGTTAAGTACTCTGGGTAAATTAACCAGTTATGATCAGTTAGAGCTTGTAAAATGATTAGGGGGTATTTCTCATTAAGCGTATACTGGCAAAAGTTTAAAGAATGTCCTAACTGTAGAAAACACTAGTATGGAGCAGTGAATAATTGCTTAGATGACTTGACTATTTGGTCAAATTCTACCTAAATCTGTTTTAAAAACTGTTTGTAATAAGAAAGGTTTATAAAAGAGCGCTTCATTAAACCGTGCTTGGATACTGGATTGAATTAAAAATATTAATCAAACTATATATTTGTATAAACAAATATATTATGTTTTAAACGTACTTGTGAACCAATTTCATTGAGATCAACTTTATCCGTATTGTAGCTAGAATTAACTGATTCTTTTTCAGCGTTCATGATATTCAGTGATCTAGTCATTTCTAATAGTATTAAACCGTAGAATAAATGAACTAACGCCTCTGTTTATATTTCAAGATAATTTAGTGTGTATATTCTATTGCTGATGTTATTGGTCAGTCATTTACAGTATAACGTAAATAGTAAGTGAATAATTTTGGTATCTTAGCATATATATAAAGCCGGCTTTATTTTAAATTCCACCTTACTAGATACTCTATAGATTGTTAAAGTATTTTAGCAGTGAATTAGTCAAACTATAATACAGTGATCATGAGTGTCCATTTTTCTTAGTTGAAATAGACCATAATATTTATTGTTTTCTGTAGATGATGCATACAAATGCTTGAAATTTCCCCTTATTTTGTTTGTAGCGTTTGTTCACATGCCTCTATTTCAGTCTTTATAAGTCCTAATGTATGTTACAGCAGATTCACAAAATAGTTGTTTAAACTCGAATCTTTGCTGTACTAAGTTTATCTTTCAACCTAATTCATTTTTGCAAGTATTTTCTACTCAGTTTTGTAATTTTGTTTATTAAACTTCACCAAATGTAGGCTGCCAACGAAACCTAACCAAAGCTAATAAATTCATTCTATTCTAGATAAACTGTTGTTCTTTAACTTATTAAGTTACTAAGACTATTTTTATAAACGGCTTTTCCTGTAACAAAATTAATCGCTAATAATTCATTTTAGATTAAGATCGGATCCTTCCTATTTTAGTGTGATATGATCAAAACTCACAGAGGAACTTCATTTCTTAGAATATTCCTCATATCGCAAACGTTTTGCAGACTTCAAAGTTTGATATGTGTTAAAATAATCATACTGAAGTAAGAATGATGATGATCGTAGAATATCGTAAATTTATTAAATTTCATAAGTTTTTACAACTTGCTTACCATATTCGTCGAAGTAACAAGATGTATTTTTCGGTTTTAAGGATATCATAATATTGGATTTTGAGAACTAGTGAGTTTGAATGTTTGAAATGATATAGACTGTTGATGAAGTTGTCGATAATTTAAAGTATAAAATGGATTACTTGAAAAATTTAAGAGGAAAATTAGTGATAAGTTATATAATAAATAATATTTAGCTCTTAAAACTGAAATAGATTTAATCCCTTTTATCTTCAAGATGACTACACATTTGTAACTCCACTAAGATGCATTAGTGTAATATGTACAATTATTGAAGTATTATAATATATTAGTTGGATTCATGGTATATCACGAATCGACCAAAGTTAGAATTGTAAAATTACACCCAATGATTCTAGTGCTCAGCCCTCCGCTGAGAGTCCTGAACGTTCTAACCTCGACCTTTTATGTAATCATAATTACATGCTACTGAGAAACAGTCTAATTCACCCTAGTTTTTGATAATGCCTCTATTAAGTTCAAACTGTGACAAATATAACTCGTGAATCAAACAAATCCCTTTCAACTAAACAGGCGATCAGTTTACTAATTGCCAAAATCCTTGTTAATTTACAATGAAATACATACAAGTTCACTAATGTCCTAACTTACTTAACTAGACCTTAGAAAATTTTCTATCTGAAACACATCAATAAACTTTTACTGACATGTGATGTTAAATAATATAATTTATTGATTGATTTATTTACTGTTAATATCACGTGAACACTAAACAACAAGAACAACAGCAAAAACATTTTTGTTCTTCATAAACAAATAACATTTCACTTGACAACAAATGAAAAATAACTTTTAACTATCCTTTAGTAAAAGTGAAATGAACTGTGAAAAAAAATTGACGAGAAAAGAAAACAAAAGAATGAAATTTTTCAATGAATATTTGTAGCTAATATTCTATTCTATTAAAGGAAATAATAATTAGTTAAATTCAACATATATTACTATTTTTTCTATTATCATTACAGATTAGTTTCATTATGATATTTAGGTGATTAGACTGAAAAGTTTGTGATGTTTTCTTTTCGGATGAATTTAATTATTGTTTAATAGAATAGTTAAACTATATGAATGTGACAAAACAAAGAAAAAAATATATTCAATAATTATTTTTTTGGGTATTGTTCCACTAGACAACTATATTCTATCAAAATTTATTTATGAATTTAAGATGTATATAGTAGACAAGCAGGAAACTAATCAATAAAGTAACAAAAGAAATTATTGATCATAATATGTTTCATTTCAATTAATTAATAAGGTGGGTTTTGTGGATATTATAGTAATTTCAATGGTTAAGATCATTAGTCAGCTGCAGCTAGACCACCATGGAAAACCTAGAAGCACTAGACCGACTTTTTGTCCTATTGTGGGACTCCTCAGCAGTGCGCATCCACGATCTCGCCCCCTGCGAGATTCAAACCTGAGACGTACTGGTTTAGCACGCGAGCACTTAACCACTGCTGAGGAGTCGCGCAATAGAACGAAACGGCCATCCAGTGCTTCCAGGTTTTCCATGGTGGTCTAGCTTCAACTGACTCATGATCTTAACCATTGTAATTAATAAGAGTTTACTGTTTTAGTGGTTCACAAAATATGATTAATACAGATGAGTTACATAATGGCAATTTTAAAATACAATTTTGTAATATAATTTATAAAAAGATATAGACTGAAGAGAAATTCAATGAAATCCCTTTATTGCATGTTTTTACCAACCATAATGAAGCGATTAAGTCAGGCAATGAAATCTCATTACATTGTCTTATCATAATGATATCAAATAAACTACGTGATAGTTTTCACTATGATATATGAATGATTATTGTATGATTAAGTGAAGTTAATGTTTACATAATTACTATTTTAAAACCGAGAATAGATTCTGGATTGTCAGATAGAGTAACAAAATATCACAGAGCTAAAATAGTTAATCGACTATGCAATGACGTAATTGAACATAAATCTTTTAGTGCTGAATTCTTTACTCTGTTGAAAAACAGTTTTATTTGATTGTTTTTAACAAATAAAGCATCATCACAAAGACAGTCCATAATAAAGATTTATAGGGAAGCCCAGTTTGAAATAATGAATGGAAAGAAACATCTGTTAATTGAACCACTAAATAACTTCTTATAGTGATCATTAATAAGACATTGTTAATCATTCAATATTAACCACAATTTCAAAAATTATGATAGTCTTAGTAATGCTGTCAATTACATGAATCTGCACACTTAAACATTCAAAAGATTTAGAGTTAAGCATATTTGGTCGTTTGGATTTTGTTCCGGAACTGCATTAATGTTGTAATTTGAGATAAATTGCTTCTTTTGTACTAAACAACTGGTTAAATTTATTTTATTCAAGAAAACTAAACAATACACGTGTACACTATTCATTTAAAAGTATTTTAGTGAATAATGTATTCGTTATAAGTTCTTTCATCATGTATAGTATATATAGTCTCAATAAAATGGCTAGTCAGTCGTGCTGTGTTGAAAATCAGCCACGCTATGAATTGATCATATTTAGTATTTGGTTATTTTAGCAAGTCTGTATAAGTTTCTATAAGATGTAAAGTGCTTTTATTAGTTTAGAAGAATTATGTTACTAATGTGCATTTATTATCTGAAATGTCCATGTTATCCAGTTTTTCCAACAACAAACAATTAAATTACAATGATATTTTACCTATGCAGGTTTCATTTATTGATTATAGAGAATACTTAATGTGAAATAGTTTAATAATTATATTATCGTCTAAAGATCCCCATCATATTAAGAGTCTAATATTTGAACGAAGAGTATTCTTTCTGATAAATTCTCTTCAGGTTCTATAATTATATATCCAAATTAATAATCCGAAAAATGGTCAGGTTAAGGGTAAAGTACACCGTTTAAAACATGTGAATTTAGGATTGTTAAACAATATACAATAAAATCGTTAATGTTGATATGATTCATATAAAATGTTAACTTGGATCTGCATATTTGTGAAGTGAAATTTAAGATCCATGATCAGAATATATACGGGTCAAATAGGGTGAGAGAAATAATAGCGCAATTACAATTATATTATCACTAAGAAAAGATTACAGTAGTACCTTCAAACATTCTACATTTTGCCTAGTTCTTAATAAAATATTTGTCATTTATGTAACTAATCATGTATCTCATATGCTTTCAGAATACATTTTGACTAAAATAAAAATTTCTGCTAAATAATATTTAGAATATTAAAGCTGATTTTGATAACTGAAATTTTGTTCAAAATGATTTAAAAATAAAACAATGTTATAATGATAAATTTCACGAACTTGGTTTATTAAATTAGGAATATTTATCAATGATGTACAGAGACTATGAAGGTGAGCTTTCCACTGATCGATTCTAGGAATAGACAACATTGATTGATAGTTGTATAAGTTCACTCCGGTGACAGTTTTATTTGTATGGTGTTTCATGTGTCTCGGGCTGATGTACTGTTAATCAACCACCATTTTTGTTTACGGCCACTATGAAATCTTTCACTTGTTTTTATTGTTGAGTTACTTATTATTAGCAAGTAGTATTATGTAAAACGTGATATTACTATTATGTAAGGAGCTCCTGTTTGAAAGTTGAAGCATTTAACGCATAATGGTTTGTGATGTTTGACACCAAAAGACTAAAATACCATACAGCTTTCTCCTATGACGAAAAAACAAGATATAAATCCCTTTGTACAGTATTTCCCTGACTAACAAATGTCAGCTTATTAAAGTTATTCCTCTCACCGTAAATGAAAAGTCCTAATGAAGATATACAGTAAGTTCGAATCCGAAGTTAATATTTTATGTTTACATGTCAAGAACAACTGAGTTTGTCTTAATGAGTAGTACTAACATCTTCCGTCAAATAATACGATGTAAGATTGAGTTTTCATTCAACTGTAGGTGATCAGGACTACTAATAGTATTTTAATGAACATTTAGCTTTTCCATTGAAATTTTGAAACTGAGGTATTCCTTTAACCTTCCTGTATCTACACTGTACCGACCCCACTTTACCCTTCAAAATAATGAATTTGAAATACCGAAGGTAGAAACTTACCGAATCAATAAAGATCTAATTTTTCGGTCTATTAGTTTAAAATTAGGAACACCTTAGGCTCTGTTCGAGTTATTCACATTAATAGACCTTTTCCTGAGGAATCTGCGATAAATAAGTCACCGTCTCGACGAGACATAACTAGCATTTTAAAAATACGCCCGTTTGAGCGTATTACTATATAGTTCCACTTATTAAGCTTGACAGTTTAAGATTTGTGCTCCGTTTAACCATTAATACGATTAGTGATTGTTTATGGTAGAGTGTTAATGAGTCAGAAAGCGAATAAAATCTGAAGTATGTTAGAAGCGACATATAAGACCTCGCGAAATGTATTAATTAGATATCACAGTTGATATCCGTTGAACTTTTTATGAATTTTTGATATAGAAGCATCAAACAAATCGTATCACCATTATGACAACGTTCCTCCCTATATATTTCTTTGTTCAATATCTTAGTGATTTCTAGCTTTCTGCAATCTATGAGTTAATTTCTTTCTCGATTGTATAAAATATTCTAATAGTACGTTGCAAACGTTTTCCATACATACACTGTAAGTTTATTTTATTTATTTATCGACTGTTTCGATTTCCTCACCTTTGAGAAATAATGATTACAGTTGTGTTACTCTGGTGTATCAAAATTACGATTATATTTCAGTGGACATATTAATGAAAAACTAGATGTTATTGCAAGGGAATGTTCCTAGTGGAAATCGATTGAATTCATCTTTTTTCTACTAGTGATCGTGTGAATTACTTTTGATTCTTTCAAAAGCCTCTCTGATCTAAAACGTTTACTTATTACGATACCACTGTTCTACATAAGAAAGTAAAACATGAAAATTAATTTAATAAAATGACTTTCGGTTGCGCACGAACGCTTGAACTCTAGACGGCTAGGCCGGCATCCAACGATGTTAATATCATGGATGTGTACCGCTGAGAAGTCCCACAACAGGATGAAACAGCCGTCCAGTGCTTACAGGTTTTTTAGGATGGTCTAGCTTTAACCGACTCATGACTTTAACTATAAAATCACTAAAAATCTCCACAAAATCCAGTGAGAAGCCGTGATCAGTGGAATTCAACCAGGTCGGTTGTGAGATAGTAACTCACTGATGATAATGGTGGATGTGTCGCACAATTTGATGGATTATTTAAAGTTAGACATTAACACCACTGGATGCAGGCTTAGTAGTCTAGTGGTTAAGCACTCACGTGCGAGACAGATAGGTCCTGGGTTCGAATCTCACGATGTAGGATCGTGGATGTGCACCGCTGAAGAGTCGCATATTAGGACGAAACGGTTGTCCAGGACTTTCAGGTTTTCCATGGTGATCTAGCTTTTATCGACTCATGAATTCAATTATTAAATTACTACAATCTCCACAAAACTTTTTTCTGCTAATAAAATGATGTTAGAAGAAAAATATCGGTTACTTCAAGGTTAAAAGAGATAACTGACTTAAAAATTTCTCTAAATGAATTAATATTATGGACAGTTAAAAAATGTAAAAATAATTCATAAACAGAACCACACTGGATATTCTCATGATACTGAATGTTCATAAAATATATCAATGTTTACTGAGAAAATTTTCGAACTGCTGATTAAATGAGTAAATTAACATTGTACTTTAATTTAACATAATCATATGTTTGGTGTCAGCTAATGTTTGAAAGTATAGAACTAAATAAAACAAAACATTTTCCATGAATATCCAGTTCAAAACTGAATTGAACGTTCATAATAAACTAAAACTTTCTTAAAGTAAATAACGAACATTTTTGGATGGGATAATCAACCGTACAATAACCTAGTTTGTTATTTCAATTCAGTATAACTTTTAAAGTAAGATACCGATATGTTGATCAAAAAATAACCTTTTTCTATATTCTGTTCTTAATTACATTGAACAAACAGCCTTAATTAAACATAAACTTCATTCTGCTTAAGTGTTGTTGCCATTTACTAATTCAAATAAAGCGTAATGATTATATAGTATATTTCATTATACGTAATGTTAAATGAATAGGTCTAAGCTGTAATATAACAAAAATAGCTACTATCTTCTCATCAAATAAGTTGGATATGCGTTGTTTTGAATGATGACTCTAACAAGAATTCGAAAAGTAGTGGTTGAAGTAATCGCAGCCGTAAAGTCTATATCTTTGTTAGCATAAAACCAGTGAAATTGTTATAAACTCGCTAACTTTAACAGAAAGAACAATCATTGAAGTAATATATAATCGTTATATAGAAATAAAAACTTCGAGTATTACTATGTGTTCTGTACAAATGGCAGTAATAGGTTTACTCCTGATTTTTCTACACACTTATCACAATAAATGTCATACTACTCCTATGTCTATTCACATGTTAGGCTGGATGACAATTCCATCGACAAGAATTTCGCATAATCATTAAATGTTATGAATAAGATGCAATCAAAGTTTTATTAATTTAACCACTGGTAAATGATAGTAATCAGTTGTTTCGATATAAATTTTGTATGTTAATTTTTAAGTGCCTTTTGATTAATAATAACACAAATATCCTACTTGTTTTTTTCTAGGGTATATTATCAACGGTAATTATATTAATCATGTTTTTTTCGGACCTAATATTGCTTGAAATATCCTGGTTAAAAAAGACAGCTAAATTGTGTACACTTTGTTCAACCGATTTGAATGTTATCACAAAACTCATCTTTGGATAATTACATGCTGTCTGTAATCATTCAAGTCATGTAGACTCATATTATAATTGATTGGTATTACTGTAAAACAAACGTCATGTGAAATGACATTTACAAAAAATCTTACAGAATGAAATATCTCGCCTGCTATCACTATCCTTGATAATATAATGGTGTATAGAATTGCGAATCGTACAGTTTTGCAACTACATTACTCAAAATAACACCTCCTAATTTACCCTTTAAATAGTTTATTATAGACTATTTTTAGTAAGAACTAAATGGATTGGCGTGAAGTACTACTGGTTTTTTTAAAAAGAAACACTTCATAAGTTAGCGGAATCTGAACTGAAATTGAAAGTTATTGGTTAGAATTAGTTTATTGTTTCAACTGTTATGCCGATTTCTTTGATGAACAAGTCAATACTGGTGGTGCAGAAACAGGACGTGAAGATTTGATCCATTCATATGATGGATTCATATATTCCCAGTATGATGGAAATGATTCGTCGAGAACAAACTCACTTTCTATGAAATAAAAAAGTATAAAACAAAATCAGATATAAATACCTCAGGTTAATATAAACATTTAAATGAGAAAATTTAAACTTGGATGAAAGAAATGTGTAAATGTAGTCCCAACTGCTAACTCATTGTATCAAGTTGAAAACTCTATGAACTCTATTACTTTCTCTTAAATAAAATATGATTTTGTATCTCAACAATAAACATCAGTAAACCATGCCTAGCTTTCATATCATATTTTGTTTTAAATAAGCATCAAGACATTGAACAACTCAGTCAATGTTATGGATGGTGTAAAATTTCTATGGACTAAACTTTGCTTTCTAAATTAACCCTGTTAATCTACCAGATGCAAATAGTAGTTCTTGAAATTAATTGACAATCAATTACATTTTAAATCTTTAATTTAAATATTCCATTCAACAGTAATTGTTTAGATATTATGATATTCAACAATTTCTTTTTTCATAACGTACCGATATCTTCGTCCTCAGAGGTCAAGTTGTAAGCAGATAAAGATGAGCTAGATTCAAGTAAATTCAGTTGTTTTAATTCATCAATGTTTCTGCATGAGAAAATCTGACTACATGTTGAACAATATAGGTAAATCGTTGATCCAGTTAAATTTGATGAATCACTAAATGTATACTTATCTTCAAAGTTTTTCAGGAAGTTTTCACCATAATCTTGATAGCTTCTAACTTCATATTTCGAAGAGCATAAGGAGCTAAATGATTTGGATAGGCTTAAGTGTTGACTGATCTCTTCGGATTGATTGTTTGAAGGGTTCTTTACTTGAGGAGACATTTCAAGGGTTTCATTTTTCTGACTGGTGATAGTAGATTTCTCTGTATATGTAGTTCTATTTGTACCAGTATTACATCTTGTTGGAACAGGCAGAATGAATTGATCAAATTGTTGTTTCCATAGATTTTTCAGTTTTTCAAATGAACATCTAAAAGTAAGTTAGTAAAATGCATTGAACTTTGACATATAACGTAAAAACGTTTACATTTAAAAATAAGAAAGTCTCATATATAACACTGAGTTGAATATTGTGTTTAATTTATAAATAATTTGCGATGCAACAAAATTTTATAAATTACTGTTACCTTTTGAAATACAGTTTTTATTCAGCTTCAAAACTGAGCAATAGTGTGCGGTAAAGACGATTATGTCACCGACCAAAGTTGGTCAGTTTTAGTAGTTTAACAGTAAGTATAATTTCATGAAGTCAAACATTTGCATATATAAGATGTATTATTGTATGCCATTAAACCAAAAGCTTTCACCTGTATTTTCATCCCATTTATGTACATGTTTGAAATATCTTCCATTTTTTGAATATTTCCATATTCCCTTGATTAGTTCAAGTTTTAACTTATTCAACATGATATCTACTTTCTTATCAATAAGACAAACATGTTTGTGTTTTTGCATTTCATAATGGATTATTACACTACTAGTGTAGTGAACAGAACACGGGTGGGGACAATCCAATGTATTTGACTCAGAATTACAGGACTTGTTAATAAAATCTAACAATCAAGTAGTAAATACGTAATTTACAAAATGCTCATCAATTGTCTCATAATGACTCAGACTTCATTGTTCTTGAATTTTCATACAAATTGCATTCTGTTTCCATTCTTTACTGTTTGATCCTCTTGTCTCTCTGCTACCAGATCTTCCGTTCACGAGTAACGTCATACACTACTTATGTCAGTATAAGTAGCACACACCACACTAGCGTTACACTTTTTTCTCTGTTGTTCACAACCTATAGACGCTACACAATCATTACTAATATGATTGTTTTTTTTTCGTATCATTTCGTATCACGCTACTAAAATATAATAATGACTTCCTATAATCAAATATCGCCATGTTATAATGTTTATGAATATATAAACAACATTCAACTAGGATATAAATCAGCGAAGTTTCTTATTTTCATCAGTACGAGTACTACATTTCAGGATAGACATGATGTAATTATACTTTGATGCAAGATATACAATTTTAAGATGAAAGCTTTTTTAAAGGTTTTCTACTTTATTATAAACGACAGAAAAGTGTTGGAGGTGTTTTATAAAATAATGAAATTTCTCTTCATTTCAGATAATTATGTTTTCACTTATCTTCAATAGGTTCGGTTGGATGCAAGAAAATCAGTTATTTCCCTAACAGAGTAACTATATAAACTGCACAAAACTGTTTAAGAAAGTAAAAATAACTTCACTGATTAAAATTGGAACAATTAATCTAGAAGTATATTACTGAACAGATGATTCGAATATCCCGTATTAAAATTCTTGTAGATTCGTGGCTGGTTACCTTCAAGGAAATTCTTAAGTGAACCCAAGACGTTGTCCAACGTTTGCTAGTTTTCGATTAAGTTAGAGCGGATGCCTATCTGTGATGAAAACTAATTTGAACCTGGAAAACGTTTACACATTGTGTATTTTAACCATTAAATTCATGTGTACTTTATTGAAACTCGTCTCAATCGAGAGAGATAGTTACGATAAGTAAAGATATTTTACACTCACCTAAATCCGGGAATAGTTATAGGGATAAAAGAATAAATACACTTTAATTGATGTAGGCTCAAACAACAGATGAAAATGATAAACCATATTTGCTTTAACTTGAAGTAGTCCATTATTATTAGTTTGTTACAGTATTTTGATAGTAATTGATGGAGTGTTATGATCTGTTAACGATAGTATTATCGTCAATAATACAGTTTAAAATAAACTTTTACGAAATGTCGTGACAACTGGATAGTGACAAGTGATTGATCATTTGATAACAGAGCGAATGACTGTCAAAATTAAAAATAACCTGTTTCCGTAAATAGTTTTATTCATTCGGTTTACCATTATAGTGCCATCATATTGAGCCAATGAGCGTATATCATGTTTGATAAGTCTCGTCGATCGAACGCCATATTCGTTTTCCTTAGCTATTCTGTTAACCCGCAGTCTAAAACTACACAGCGACTTGAACACCAGAGAGAAGACACAAGCATGAGAGAAAATACTTTATCCCAAGGTTCATTTTTGTACAGAAAATAATGGGTATTTATAGATGTTGGCGTCTTTGAAATCAACATCATATTTCAGCCAATCCGTTAACGACATATTATGCTACCGACCAATAGTAGCAGGCCACGTTGAAATTCTAGAACGTTCCATCATACTCTGATTGGCTAGGACCCTACGGCTCCTTTAGGGCCTATGGAGGCTCCGTTGAAGTTTTCCGGAAGCCGAGTCAACAATGTTGTCATTATTATATTGTAAAACAGTATTGTTAGATTAATGGATTTTAATGAAGGCTGACATTACATCTGCACATGTATTGATTTTCAATTCAGACTTGATTACTTGAACTAGAATAGAATATTGAATCCCCTGAACAGACATACTTGGTAGTTACTGTGATGTATCGAGATATCATGCTTAGTTTGTGTTTATTACTGAAACTAATTATCACCAAGTAATTCTATCGCCTGTGATTGCACAATCATTGGCAAACATATAATCTTAATTAACTAAACTATTACTAAAGAATGATCAAGAAGTTTAAATATTGTAACATAAAGTGTATAATGGATAGATTTATGGCTAGTAATAAAATCCAGGACACATGTTTCACCCTATTCGGGACTCATCATCTGTATTAAGTTGAATCACACATCCAATGTCCACCCAGGGACTCGGACTCAGCATCTTCTAACTCTAGCCGCAAACGCGTTATCCATGGAAGACTAGCACTTAGTTGCAGACACATGTGGCGAAGGAGTCAAAAATGGGACTTCACTGACAGTCGCAAATCCATCAACTCTACAAACATTTGTAAAAATTGAAGCAATCAGCATAAGATGCATATCTGTCGTCAAAGACTGATCGAAGTTCAATAAAGATTATCAATACAGGAAAACCTATATTCTTTTAAATAATGGCATAAGTAACATTAAGGGTTTACACATATTCACATTTTTTCCATAAAATATCATTGTTTGTACATCTACATTTTCAAGCATTATTTTCAGTTAAATATCGATGAGTCTAGAACTTTAACTTTGTTGTTAATTTGAACTAAACAGTCTAAATTAACAAAATCAAATTGTTATAAACTGTAATTAATAATAAAAATATGAAGTGCCAAAGTGATTTATTTCACTGTACAGTTCTCAGTAAAGACTTTCTGTGACTAAGGTCTTCTAAATAGGTTCAAATTTCGATTTATGATGTTTAGAAGAAATTGACAGCTATCTCCAAACTTAGGTTGCTTGATTAAAATAATCCATTAACGACGCATATTTAACATTGTATATGAACTCATGTGTTTGAGTGACTCTGACTTTTAGTCAGACAGCCAATTAATCATTATTAAATACTAGATGATATGACAATAATTACTAATAAGTCATGAAATAAAATATATGTTCATCTGTGCCTTCAAGCCACATTCTAATGTGTTACTATCCTTTCAACAAAATTACCTAACACAAATTATTATTTTCAGAAAGAAAAGAATAACGTTAATTAATGACTTTTAAAAGCAATTAATTGTCAATCATTGATGAATTCATAATTCGCACGACCACACAAAAACGTTACTATCTTTAATTTCAACCAACTTTAAAAAAATATTTGACATCATACTTGACAGTCAATCAAAAAAACAGAAATGTTCACATTTTAAATGGTTAAAAATAACCACGCACGCAATAAGTTGACTATTTTTAAACGATCGTGTGATGTGTACCAATGATATCGACAGATATAAGTAGTATGTATCATCAATCGATAGTGAGAATGCCTGACGGTAGACAGTTAAGAAGATTGAAGAAAATAGAACAAGATTAGAGAATGATTGGTATGGAAATAGAGGAACAATCAAGTCTGAGATGATTGATTGACGTTTTGCCAATGAAATATTTATTGTCTAGTTTTCAGATTTTATTCAAACATTCTGTAGTTTTATGTTCAAAAGCATATGATTGTCCCCAATGTTGTTCTCGTTCACTACAAAAGTAATATTGATGTTATTCTGTCTGTTGAGAATATAGACATCATACATTCATTTATAACAGCAAACAGTTTAAACGAAATGAAAAATAAAAATAAACTAATATTTAGTCATAATCCCCAACAAACCAAATATTTTAATCGTATGTTTTATCGTTCAAAAGTTTCAATACTTATAAATTTTATGAGAATGGGTTTTGTGGAGATTTTAGTAATTTCAGTAGTTGAAATCATGAGTCAATTGAAGCTAGACCACCATAGAAAACCTGGAGCACTGGACGGCCGTTTCGTCCTAGTATGGGACTCCTTAGCACTGCGCCATCCAGTGCTTCCAGGTTTTCCATGGTGGTCTAGCGTCAATTGACTCATGATTTCAATTGTTGAAACCAATGAATTTGTCATGTGATGTATTTTTAAAGTTTGATATTTCATGAAGTGAAATACAGTGCTCTTCCTACGGTTAAGAATACAAATCAATTAAATTTAGTATCGTAGATGGATACATTTATTTGTATTACGTCCTTTAAGTTGAATGATTCCACTGTGAAATATTGATTATTATCTTGAACAACATCAATAACAATCTAGTTTGGATAGAAATAAGTTTATACACTACGGTTTAAATTAACAAATAACGCTCAATATTAAATAAAACAAAACTAAGAATATTACAATTTATCATTTTGTTGCTTACTCATTTTTCGCATTTCATAACGTTTTGAAAAACAAGATCGATTTGCATGATCTGAGAATAACATAATTATAGGAAGTAATATATACTAATGAAACTTAAGAAAAACATTGTTTAGTTGGTTTACTGAAATATATTTTTAATTATATATGCACAATTAAACTAATGGTAAGTGTAAAACTACATAAACTAGTTTTTTGTTCCGAATTTAAAAAAAATAATTTACTCCATCTAATACACAAAGCTCAATTAAAACTATTAGGAATGACTTGAGATTCGATCAATTTACGTTTCATTCTAGAATATGGTCTAAACAATATCGATTTTCATCATTAACAGAAAAAAAATCGTCATCGTCTCCTAAGTGGTAAACTGATTAGAGAATAATTGAACTATTACATAACATTGAAATGTTGATTAAGAATTGTCTTTAATAAAAAAATGTTGATTGTTTTTTTTCTAATTGATATTTCGAATACTTATTTAAGGTGATTTGAATTAAGTTTTAGGGTGAAATCTTTTGACCATTAAAAGATATCCACGAATATTCAGTTTGTGCATTTATACGTTCTACTAATTTCCAGAGAAATCAAGTAGATGCTTTTCGAAAGATGACTAGTATGAACTTGAAGAACATAGAAGATGAAAGATAACAGTTCTTGTATCCTAGTATGAAACAGTGGTCTGCACACAAGGTCTCACATGGATTTAATCAAAAACTCACTTTGGTACCATTGAGTTAGATTCTAATAGTTCAAATTCTTAACCTAGATTAAAAGCATCCTATTTCAGCAATAAGTAATCTTCTTAATCCTGAAATGACTGAGCTCCGTTGTCTGATGTATTGGTGTTGTCAACGGTTATGCAGATGATTTTGAACACTGAACTTAAAATGTCCAAAAAGTGAATTACTCTACTCATGTCTTCTTTTCAAATGAAACGTTTTAAGCATAACGACATATATTTATCATATAACTATTTGCATCTGAACAAGTTTGAAATGCTAAAATTAATTTCAACCTTTTGATTTATAAAATTTAGAAAATTGATAATTTACTCACCAATATTTGTCACATGTTTGTTCTTCTCAAGTGTTTCAAACGGTGAATTGAAACAATGAACATGCCTGTAGTGGTTCACATGACAAGAATCTAAGTGGATAGTCTGTGTTAAATACAAACAGAATAAACAACTATTAAACATTGAAGAACCTTTAATAGGTTTCCCCAAGTTCTGTTTATTACACGTCTTTGTTTCAACTGGTCGATCTATCAGAACATCCTTCTGTTGTCGAATTGTTTTATTCAAAACCTTATTTGTATTACATTGATTTTGAGTTGTATTTCTTTTGCCACTGTGTTTCTTAAAACGAGTTGTTGAATATTTTCTAAATAAGAAATAGAGAGTAATAATATGATAATAATTACCTCCTTTCTAGTTTGTTTAATCTATTTATCTCTCCCGCAGTCATATCAAAATCTCTTAAATGATTTTCCTACAATATCATTGAAAAAAAGTGAAGATAATTATGTTTTTGATAGGTTTATGCCTAATCAATTAAGTAAAATGACATTGAAATATCATTACTATAATATCTACAAAAACCCAATCTGATATTAATCAACATATGCTCACTAGTGACTGGCTGCAAGAGGTATATCCTAGAGTTCTAGTGAGAATCAATAACCAGTGGAATTCAATAAGGTCTGTCGTGAGGTAGTAACTCGCTGGTGACAATGGTGGATGTGTCGTTCAATTTGGTGGATTATTTGAAGTTAGATATTAACATCACCGGATGCCGGTCTGCATAGTGGTCTAGTGATTAGGCGCCCTCGCGCAAGAATGACAGGTCCTGGATTCGAATCTCGCTAGGCGGGATCGTGTATACGCACATACCAAACTCTAAATCACTTAAATGTATGTGTACTCAATAAAAATATCATTAATGTAGATATCAAAAGTTGAATCAGTACTCTTAATTTATTTTATTTTGTTGGTAACTTCTATGACTATCAACAAATACCATAGATTAGCTTAAGTTTTAGCTAACTTAGTGGTAAGTGATCCTGAACTCCATATTTTGAACATACATTACCATTCAAAAATTCACTATTAACATTTTAGTCTTCTATTGTAGAAAATCTCGTACATTTAGTTCCATTTATCATTTTGAATAGAGCAAGAGCAAAGATTCTAGCAGAATATCATGAATTCATTTTTATTTCGTTTGCGTCTCGTCAGCTGCTTACGACCTATGATAATTAAAATTATAATTATGAAATGGGTATAGATTACGTACATGAAAGAGTTTAGTTGAAAGTTATGTTGAAAACACATTAGCATGGTATAGAAAGTACGTAAATAAATTCAATACACTGAACATTCTACAACATTGATTATGACAACAGTTCAAACGGCCAGAAACAAGTGATTACATAATAAGTGAACACTGACAGAAATAAAATGAGTAGAGCTCAGTTAATAAAATAAAATTACTAGTTTGGGAGATGGTTGAAATAAATTTGTTTGTTAAATTGATTTATATCCTTGCTATACTATACTAATATGTCTTCAATCTAACTTCCAACTAAACCGTTTCATGTTAGTAATTTAAACCCATAATGTAATTATGATTTAAAATAGCACAAGTTGTAAGCAGCTGACACGACCCAAATGAAATAAAATGAATTCATGCTATTCTGTTAGAATCTTTATTCTTGCTCTTTTCAATATTGTTATAAACTTGATTTTATGATGAAAACAATGTTTAAAATAGCTTATAAAATATTGCCTAATATTACATAGTATGCTTAATGTCATTTAAATAATTTAGATTATGAGTTTGGTTTCAATTGACTCATGATCTCAACTATTGAATTTATTATCAGAAGGGGTTTGTGAAGATTTTTAGAAATTTTCACAGATTGAAATCATGAGTCAGTTGAAGCTAGACAACCATTGAGGAGTCCCATACTAGGACGAAACAGCCGTCCAGTGCTTCCAGGTTTTCAATGGTGGTCTAGCTTCAACTGACTCATGATTTCAATCTGTGAATATTGAATTTATTATCATATCCATAAAACCCATTTTGATATTAATTTTATTTCGTTAAAGAAACAATAGTTTAATATACAAAACCCTTTCTGATGATATACAAGTAATACAATTCAATAAACTAAGTAATAAGATTATTGTCTTACAACTATAATATCAACTCATGATTATTTAACTAACTTTTGAATTCATCCAGTTATATAATATTAATTTAGTTGATGTATATTGAATGTTATATTTGATGTAATAAATTGTTTATGTAAACACTTTTTTCTAGTGTACATACCAATATTTATTTATATTTATATTAATACTGTACAGCATAAAGTATTATTAATAATAGACTGATTCATTCATTAATTGAATAGATGAAAAGAATATTGTTTCATTGAATTTATATCTATTTGTCCTAATTTCTGTGTTTATATATTATGAGCATAATTAAAAGTACTATATATATATATATAGGTAGATATGTAGATAGATAGATAGGTATAGATAGATAGGTGAGTAGATAGATAGGTAGATAGATAGATTTCAGTTAATTATTGTTTAAAAGATCACGATATCATAGATCACCTGTTATCATTTACAAAGTATACGTTTTTGTTTCTTACTGAAATCTCACAAAACTTTAGTGTATTATAACCTTGATTTGTTCAAAGAAATTGAAATGTGAGTAAGAAATAAGATCTTATGTACTAGTATTTGTTTACTGATGAAAATTACCATAAAATATGTGATTCACATTAATAGTACTGATTTTGAGGAAGAATTTTTTTCTGTACATCTTTGAAAAATATGATATTTGTTGTTAATTAATTCAGTCAATACATATTTAAAAAAAAGGATAGTTAATCTACAGAATATTTATATCGTAAGTAAAAGTCACAATATACTGAGAATGTTAATAAAAGTCTCCTAAGACTAGCGTTATATCATAATTGAGTGATCACAGCGTGGTGATAAATGTCATGTGTGTCAAGTCCTTCTTAGTGCAGATCGATTGCTATCGACCAAGCTGCAATGTGGCCACTAGTCTAGGTGACTCGACAATGCGTGCACTATGTTGAGATAAGATATTGGTTGGAGATAGTCAACAGGAAACCCTAAACTCGCGTTGATTGCGGGCTGCACAGCTCAGTGGTAACGTCTCTGACTGTGAAGCTGTGTGACATGGGATCGAATCCGTCAGGGTACACTAGTTCCCTCAAGATTACAGATACACCTTGCTGATGAGTGCTGAGTAGCATGAAATACAGATTCAGGGTTTTTTTTGACTACCTTCAACCACCATCTTACTAGCGTTATATGTTTATGCATTCATTATTCATATAATATCACTTCTTATTTTTCATGAATCTATCAGTTCTGACTAGAAGCTTTTATTGCATAAATTTCAATCTTGTCATATATTCATAATACTAACTTTACTTTTCTCAAATGGTTAATCATTGTTAAGGATCATCTTTGTTATAATCTACAAATAACTAATACAAATCATTTAATATTCTAAATTGATCAAAGTATATTTTACTTTTACATTGTAAGGAAGTATGATTTTTTCATTAAACTAAATCCATTGTCTTCAATTTAGACATTTTTAAAAATGCCACTAAACCAAAAAAACAAACTTTGTTGATTGATAATTTCTATAAGACCTATTTATAAAATTTTTTCATCATATAAAATAACATTCTTATTATAGATAAGAAATGAAGATTTACATTTACTGATTACTTAGATACTTAAATAGTACATATATCATAATGATCATTTGATTGCGTAATGATTCATTTCTCTCATTCATAAATGTCACAAGACTCATTTAATTTAAATAGTATGTTTGTTATATAATTTTGGCACTGATGAACAAACTGCTCGATTAACTATTTATTAAGTTTGACTTAATTTAAAGAAAAGATATTCACTAATTGTTTAGATGATCTGCATTTAAGTATATAGTTTCCTAATACTACTTACTTTACTAAATCAAAACTTGATGTAATTTATCTAGTGGAAAATTATATTTAACAATAATTTTAAAATGAGAAGGGGTTGTGTGGAGATTTTAGAAATTTCATTAGTTGAAATCATGAGTCAATTAAAGCTAGGCCACCATGGAAAACCTGGAAGCACTGGACGGCCGTTTCGTTCTAGTATAGGATCTTAAAAGTTATAGTTGTTAGGACAAGAGAGTAGCATCTGATTATTATTTATGTAACGATATCCTTTCCGAGATAGTTTTGTTTATCTATATTTTTGAAGGCATCCTATATATGTATATAATTATTGATTACATATACTAAACAAGATAAGAATGAAAGTTTTGTTTCAGTGTTTAATTGTTGAATCGAATTTGTCAAATAGTAATCCATCAATTCTAGTTAAGTAATATGGCCATGTTTAATAAAACATTTATTATTGGAACTACATTTCGATAATTACATTTCACTTACCACACAGCATGGAAATTAGTTTTCGCTTAATTATCAGAGATACTTTCCTTTTAAGCTGTGATACTGATAAATAAGTAAGTACTTGACTAGCTAAATAAAAATTTATACAATATAAAAAATAATGAATAACATTAAACCTTCGAAGTTAATTCCACTTTATCTCAAGTTTGAATTTGAATAACTTTTATCTAAGCAAAATGTTGTTATATGATCATGCATTCATGTTAAGGAAAGTCCGGCGAGACTATGATTCATGGACGAGCCAATCATAAGCGTTTGAGGGATTTCAAGCACACAGCACCAACTTCAATACTTTATGCTAACGTACGATCGATTCACAGGGAATTTTGTACGGAACGTGATAATTGAGCGGCTATAACAAATAAAACGACGAAACTATAATTTGTGGACGAACTAATCAGGTATAAGATAACAAATCTCGGATTTCGGTGCGAAAGCCTTTTATCCATTTGGCCAAATAGTTTTGGCATTATAGGTAATGTCAGTTCATCATGAAAATCCTATATTTAATCCCCAATTAAGGCAAATTACGACAATTAGTACGAACTAGATAATAAAAGCACTTGTAACATTGGCTGTAGCCAGCTTCTACAATATATACGAATGATTGGAGAGCGTACAGACTCATACATAGGCTTGGTTATGTGCATCGTGTCGTTATCCACAAGTGGCATTTTGTGTACTCAACAACCGGAGTGCACACAAACAATGTTGGAGCTATGTTATCGAGACTGAAGGAGTTCTTACGATCCTATCATGGCACCAGAGGGTGACTATTCTGTAGCCGAATGGATGATTTCCTCTGCTGCATGCATTACGATTTTAGGACCTCTGAACCTCTTTCTAACCATATCAAGTTTTTCAACCACGTATAAGAAGTGTATACGCTTTATTTCCTTGGTTTTGTATAACATCTTTTTACTATATACTGACTTGC